AAAAAAAAAAAAAAAAAAAAAGCAATTTGACACCATGTATTAGAAGCCTTTAAAATGGGGATCTTGCTGGGAGATGTGGCTCATGCCTATAATCCCAGCTTGAGAGGCCGCAGTGTGAGGAGCTTGAGACTAGCCTGGTCAACATGGAGAAACCCCATATCTACAAAAAAAATACAAAAATTAGCCAGGTATGGTGGTGTGCACCTATAGTCCCAACTACTTAAGATGCTGAGGTGGGAGGATCGCTCGAGCTCAGGGAGGTCAAGGCTGCAGTGAGCTGTGATCATGTCACTGCACTCCAGCCTGGGTGAGAGAGTGAAACCCTGTCTCTAAATAAATAAATAACAATCTAAAATGGGGGTCTTGCGGAGCTTGACCTCTAACAGGTCATGCTGGTGTTATTTGAAACCGTTTCCTCTCCTCTCTTGGGTGGTCATTTCCTGCGGGGCATGGTCTATATACTCAGTACTAGAACCTGGAAGTCTGGCAGGAATGATTTGATTCAGCCTCTGATCTTTACAAGTGACAAGACTGAAGGTTAATGCAGGAATGTGGCTTGTTGCTGGTTGAACTCACGAGTAATCACACAGGGTGGCCACACAGGACCCAGAACCTGCAGCCCCTTTCTCCTGGCCCCAGGCTTCTGCTCTTACACCAGGCACAGCGCCATCACCCTGGGGTCCCACATTGCCCCCAGCTCCCTGGTGCTCTAAGCCGGGCCTGGCAGACCCCTGAGTTGACATAAGACACTCTAAGCTGATTGTCCTGAAGACATTTTTCACTGGGGGATTGCTGAAGCTCAGATGCATTTATGTCACACTGCTGGGCAGGCAGGTACGTGTCAGTGCAGTGAGGGAACTTGGAACAACCAAGACAGCAAGTGCCTGACATGGAAAAAGGGAGAATGAAGTGATGGATCCACTCACAAGACAGCTGGAAGGGAAGAATCGGAGCGGATGCTGAGGTGCAGTGCGCATAAATGGGTCAATCACATAGCCGCACGGGACAGGCTGATCCACTGTGTTAGACATTTCTCGTTGGGGGAGTGCCTCAGAGGCCTTCCCAGAGCGATGAGGTTCAGGGACTCTAGTCTTATCTGCAGCAACAACAATTCAAGGAACAAGAGGACACAGGAAGACCACCATGATTCAGAGCTGATTAGCCCCTCCACAGGCATCCTGTGCTTTGGAGACTTGATTTTTGTCCTTGGCTCCACTTTGCTCCCCTTTTCCTGTGTTCTGGGAGAGGCCTGCCAATTCCAGCAGTGATTGCTCCAAGGTTCTTGAGCCAAGTCATCCACATAAAAAGATGCAGACATTTGGATCCCAAGCTGCTGGGCGGAAGGGACGGTGGGGTGGACAGGAGACATGACATCCCCTTGTCCTGGTCCCACGAGGTCCCCAGTTCACTCATCTGAGTGGCTTTGGGGCACACTGGCTGCCAGCGCCTAAGCTCACAGGCCTACTTTGACGCAAGAGTATATATGGATGATGTTTTTGTTGTTTCATTGCTTAGGCTAGATTTTATTTTTTTAACTTCATA